TCGAGCGCCAACTTTGATCCAATCACTATATAAGTAAGTTTTAATATTATCCCAGTATGTTCTAATTTTCTAAACACTGGGATTATATTAAAACTAACTCATATAGTTATTATTGCTTACATCAGCGTAGCAGTCCTTAAGTTTATCGATGATGTTTGATTTCTTATTCTTGAATGCAATTGGCTGATGTTACTAGTGTCCACATCAGACAGATAGTCCGGGTAATAATGCAGGCGGATGCATAAGGCCTTTCATTTACAGATTTTGTGTTTGCTTCAAAATCTTTGAAAGGTGCTTCTTCAACGGCTGTTAAGAAAACGCCCGTTTTTAAAAAGAGTGTCATCGGAAACAAGCTATGGTTTCATCATAGGTGGTTTTTATGGGTTTATTAAAATTTCCTGTAAAACAAAGAAGAAAAGTACCTAGATTCTATCATTAGGTCCAGTACTCGGAACAAACTTTACAAAAGAGAATTCTTAATGATCAAAATGTGTAATCATTCAGAACTGTTATCAAAGATACAGTAAGAATAACTTGAGAATAAAGCCACAAGTCAGACATATTCCTCCGGCTTTAAATAAAACGGTTACCATGAATACCGACTTCACAAGTAACACTAAGGCAGATATCCTACTGATTTACGAACTATGTTCTATAGTTAGCAGTTCTTGCAAGTATACTTTGTAGGTAGGCTGACCATTCGATCACCTCAAACATTATCTACGAGTTTACATGCTTCAATGAAGCTGATCATCATTTCGTAGAAAGCATATTCCTAACTAATAGTTTTATGCTTACGTTCAGTTTTTGCTTTCTTCTTCTATAGAACTATCTCAGCGAGACATTCTCAACAGTAGGCTGTAAAGTGTTTGGAAAAATGACTGTTTATCTTTGTTAAGGCGAGTAAATAAGTCGGATATACATTCAACTTTCTGTTCATCTTTTCACCATAGGTTTACGCATGTTTAGGTTTGCACGTAGATATGACTTATGCTACTTCTTCATTGAGCAAGCTATTAACTTTTATTGAAAATGTGATCTGCAGTTTCAATAAGTAAAATAATAACTAAACACGGAATATATGGCAAAGGTTTTTCTTGCACGTAAAAAGGCATAATATAAGGTCATGAAATATAAAAAGTGTACTCATAGACTATTTTAACAGATTTCAAATAAGGCACCAAAATAAAACAGGTTACTGAAAAAGGTAACCTTATGATGATTAATAATACCAGCGAGTACCAGGAAAACATAGAATTCTTTCATAACTGAGTAAATAAAGTAAATGAAGTTACGTGGCTTATGGTCACTGAAGAAGGTTGAGTTTGTTTTCCTGATGAAATAAGAAGTGAGCACATCGTTTTGCTTCTCAGATAGTCACAAGATTTCATGTTGTACAAAATGTAGCCTACAACTAATGCCCTATGTGGTTATCACTGGGCATTTCAGTGGTTAAGTACTAACAGCATATTTTTATGCTGTGATGTATGTAGTAGGAACAGTCTGTATTCTTATTTCTGAAATTATTATTTTGTACATGATGGTGAAAGTTTTCTCTATATACAGAACATTTTATTTACATAAATCAAAAACTGTTAGGTTAGTTATTCACTGACTTTGCTAAACCATAAAACATGGAAAAAATTCTTACTTTTTCAGATATTGTGTTTTGTGCGACATTAGGAACTGAAAGCAATTTTCCTGGCTGCACCATATGATCTTTTAAATGACTCAGATGAAACTTCCGAAAATTAATTAACAATACTACTACTTTGTTCTTAAAAACATCTACTTAGATAAAATGTAAGGAAACATCAACACACCGCTTTTTTGGTGAAAAATATTGACGTCAAAATCGCCCTAGCTGAGAGTAACAGTTATTTTCCTGTATTCGAATAACGGACACAAATTAAATGACTTATTGTTTACTTCAAACCCAAATGAAATACATCATTTAAATAGCCTCAAGTCTAAATTTTTAGTAAATTTAGTTAATTAACAAGAGCAAAACAATAGGTGCACAAAGCTGGCTTAATGCGCGAAATCTTGAAACCATTTGGAAAGATATATGAAATGTTTTGCTGTACTGTCAAAATGAACAAAACTTCTTTTGTTAAATCTCGCAACATTTTGTGACTACAATGGTAGAAAAAGATAAATCCTATTTTACCGAAAAAATATAGTTTATATTGATAGACTACCGCCATTTATGATAATTTGTGATTGTATATCAGATATATATATATATATATATATATATATATATATATATATATATATATGTTCCGGATAGCTCACCTGGTAACGTCACCGACTACAACACTGGGTGAAGCAGATTCAAATCTTAGGCGGGACATCAGTTCCGTCAAGATTGCAGATATGCCTCGCTGATGAATACCGACAAGCACGAAACCTAGATTCACAACTTTCTGCTGATTCCCCTCAATTAACTAACGTGTATCAGATATCTTCAACATAAAGGTTCGCTTGACTTTGATGATGGCAGAAACTGCTGTTCCTAACACAAAGTGAAGGAGTAAAAAGAGAATCTGCCTTTCAAAAAATCTTCGTTTTCCTGTTGTAGTTTTCGCCAAACATTATTTTCATACTTCAGATTTTAGTTGGCATGCATAATAGTAGAATAGGGTAGTCCACTCTGGCGTCATAAACCTGCCTGACCAATGAAACTTATATTGCAGTTCACAATTCTTCTACAGGTTATTAGTGTCGCCTAATTTCTAGAACCCTTTAGTGAAATACATGCTGGGCATTATTACTTTTTCCCCCCTTGGGCTCCTGGTGGAACATAGAGCTTCAGTTGCACGTCTCCATTGCACCCTGTTCTCCACAGTCTTTTCAACCTGGCTCCACAACTGCCCACAAGCTCTCATTTCCTCCTCACACCATCTCCTCCATGTCACCCTCAGTCGGGACTTCCAACTCGCCGTTTCCCACCTGGCTTCCACTCAACGGCATGGCCTGGCACGTGGTGTCCCACTCGGTCTTCTCAGTGTATGCCCAATCCAATCCATCTCCACTTCCTTCTGCATATCTGTTGAGCGACCTATCGTTCTTGGTTGGTCCGTTATCAGGCCAGAGTTTCTTGTTGCTTATTCTTATTATTCTGGCCATCTGAGATTCAGTATCGAGCCAGCGTAGGCAGTTGTTGATGAATGTCTGCAGTTTGTTGCAAATGCTTTTCGTAACACTCCAAGTCTGTGAACCACCACATAGAAGCACTGACTTGACTGACATTAGTGTTGAAAATCCGGATGTTGTTCACGCTTTGTACTGAGTGCAGGAGATCTCCACACTGGTTTCAGGTTAATGAACACCTGTCTTACTGTCTTTCCGATCCTGGCTGGCTTTGACGTCCTCTTCTGTGCCTGTGTCACCTGTAGTTGGAACGATGCTGCCTAGGCAGATAGGTGAAAGAGACTACTTCCTTTAAGTTTCTCCCGTTGATGGTGGTTTGAGCTTGTTGTTGTTGTTTTTGTTGTTGTTGTTGGTGGTGGTGGTGGTGGTGGTTGTGGTGGTGCTTGGGTATCTTCATCACATCTCTCTCTTCACTACGATCACCTGAAGGAAGTGCCGTCTTTGCTGCCCTGCCTCTTCTCTCAACTTGTTGATTTTTGCCTGTGGATCTTCCAGTTTGTGCCACAAGATATTAGACACAAGTCATCGGTGAAATCCAAATCTTCTAGGATATTTTCTGCGGTTCAGCGTATCCCCCTCTCCTCGCTCCTCACTGTTTGTTGCATGACCCAGTCGAGTCGACCACAATCAGGAATATCATGGGTGATAGTGAGTGTCAGCCTTGTCTTACTCCTGTCTCCTGTCTTCACTTCGAAAGCATCACTGAGCTCTCCATTGTGGATCACTTGGCATGTGGTGTCTTTATATAGTTGTTGAATGAGATTGATGAGGGTTTTTGGTATTGCGTAGTGTTGAAGCAGCAGCCTGCCAAATTACTTGTGGGTCGACGCTGTCGAAGGTCCTTTCAGAATTGATGAAGTTGAAGTTGAGGTTGAGTTGAGTTGACTGCCATTCTATGCTTTGTTCAAATGCTGGGTATGTCTGTTAAAATTATGTAATCGCCAAATTTTCGAAAAATATTACCACAGTGAATCACACATATTTAAGCCCCTCATTCAGAGGTTAAGATGATACCTAATCAAAGATTGAAGATGATACACTTATAGGTAAAGCATCATCCATACCATTGGCTATTCAAGCAAAACACTCAAGGTGGATGAAGAATGTGAACAAAAAATTCACTTTGTACGGTTATGGTTAATCACAATACGCTTAAAATAACCTTTATCTTCCAAAAAGACGTAGGTAATGGAGTAGTGAATATAGGACAAGGGACTTTATCCAGTTTTAAGATGAAAGCTTCACTGATTAAAAGTGTAAGTGAGTAGGGGAAGAAAAGAATAAATTTCGAGTGGTTCTTTTAGAGTGATAGATGTTCATATGAAGGTAAAAATGTATCAGAACTGAAGAATCTGGTTTATTTCTATTTCCCATGACTTAGGTTATTGTTTGGTTCATCGTAATAAGTGTATCTCAGCATAATATGTTCCTTGCAATATATATTTCGAGTTTTCGGTATCAGGTCAACACACTTGAAAGTAATTTCATCCCTTTACATATAGATCATTGATTGTAGAGTGTTCTGCTAAGTCAACTATTCTGTTTGCCAATACTAAACCACTTGATACATAGTGTTTTACGAAAATACTTCATTAAAATTAGGTGAGTAGGGAGAATATATACCCTAACTGAAATCTACTCCATCTTATAGGATAAAGATACTCTTAGCGCTTTAGTATATACCACATCAACGAAAAAACATCTTTCAGCGGCTAGTGAAGTGGTTCTTTAGTCTGAAGAAGAAAAAACCTAACGGAAATCTTTTTCTTTATACGGAGCATCTTCGTTGTAGCATAACGTCTCAGTTCCAAACTAATGTTTCACAACTAATTTCGAGAAAAGAGTAGTCCATAGACTAAATGACATATGATAACTTGACGAAAGCTTGTTCATACCATGTTTCTGGTCGTCAGTTTCAAAAGAGCCTGATGTTGGGCTACTATTAGGCTCATAGGATCGGTAAAGTTACTCCAGTTTCAGCCTTTCGGTAAGATAAGAACTCTTGTTTGATGGTTTTATTGCCCGAAGCAAATGTTTTTATTATTGAAGATAAGTTACACAGAACACCCATATAGTTCATTTGTTGTTATCAACTCGCTTCGTAAATCACTCAGGGTTTTTTGTTTCCAAAGACGGTTCAAGGACTTTGGATCCTTTGCTAAGTTTGTAAAATATAGATTGAACGACTGCTAGGCAATGCAGGTAGCATAAATTGCCCGAAAATGGACATCTCTCAGTTTCATTGAGTATGGTAGACGACAGTTGGAGGGGATTGTGTAATAATGCAGCCAAATCGGTTCATAACTGGTTGAGAGGTCTAGCATACACATATTTTGCATATTATTCTAAAAGCTTTGATGAGTATTAAAACATGTCACTCAAGATGATGACACATTTACTAAGAACAGCGAAAATGAATAATAATCGCTTTATGAAATTTGTTAGGAAAAATCCAAAAATCGTATTTTGAGAAATCGGAAACAAAAAATACAGTTAATCTGTGAGAAAACGCACGCGTATTTAGTCATGCGTGTCCATGTTTCCCGTTACTTCCTTATCTGCATTCATTACACGTAAAAAGCTTGGAAAATGTTTGGAAAATAGATTTCTGTCGGTAAATATCTCTTAAAACATTAAGCTTGAGATGAGGCTATAGAGTTTAAATAACTTTCGTCAAACTCTATATTAGATTTGTTTATTTGATTTATAACTCCACAGTGATCTAGATCACTGTGTTTCATTTGGCAATTCACACTTTGGTTTTCAATTTCGGTTGGTAAGTTACAACACTAACTTGTTCTTTATTCTATTAAACACTGTTGAAGCCAAAAGTTATTATTTAGTTGTACAGATATCCTTCTATAAAGCCAATCTTACCAACTAGCATCAACGTGAACAATTTAACGGGTTATATTTGCCCACAATAATAGAATTTCTCAGTTATTGGCATGCTATCACAAACTAAAGTACTTGGAAGACTTTCATTTCGAATTTCGGTTTGTCTTGTATGTTATTCTAGTGGTGCCATAAGTGAATTTAACTGACTACTCTTTGAATTATTTTGGCCGTAATTTGATTTATTGCACGGAAGGCAGATAGATGAATTTGGCTTGAAGATGATGTTGAAAACTGTTGAACATCTTCAAAATGGGAATAGATTATTATTGTAAGTCTTTAGCCTTGGATGAATAAGGAACAAAAAACAGAAGTCAATAAATGTGTCACTGGAAGCGAGTTGCACGCGAAATTATACATTTTAGCAAAATGCATTCTTATTCTCCTCGTAATATAATTACATTGAAAAATCTAACTAAATATAGGGAAACATTACAGTTGCATAATACTTTATAAGACATCTTGACAACGTGATTTTGAACTATAGTTTAGCTGGATTCTTTTTATAACAATTAATCATACTTGTTGTTTAAAAACAGATTATGCTTCTTGTTTATGCAATACTTTAACTCAGTTGTATTAACCAATGGATCATGAGATTTCTGTATCCACATGGTATTATCAGCCTTGAGGTAGCAAATATCTCCTATGTTGCTATGCAGAGATTTAGATATACTATTTCTAAACCAGATACTTGCTTTCTTGACTGCAGTCTTAAACAAACAGTGACTCAAATTTGAAGTAAATTCTGAGATAGTATGAATATTGTTTTGCTGCTCAGTACAATTTATTTTTACTACACTTGTATTCAAGTTTATTCACTACATATGTATGCATTCATTCTACTTTATGGCCACCAAAATAAACCAAATAAAGGCCAAAAAGTAGAAAACTGTAGCCATGTCATTCATGTACCTGCACTTCTTGGCTTTTTCAAACTGTTCGAGAGACAAGAAATGCTATACCGTTATTCAGAATTAATATTCATTTACTGTATCTACATAACTTTTTCATCTACCGGAGTTTGTTTAACCCTTTTTTCCTTTTTGTTAACAGAGAACTGGCTGCGCAGTACAAGATGCCATCAGAGTCAGTGTATTTAAACTGTGGTAAATTTGACAGTCTTTAATTAATGGGTTTTCCTCTTACTATATTTGTTGTTGTTTTTTGTCACTACTATGTTGTATGTTTTATTTTCCTTGCTTCACTTACGTTTACTTATCCGATACCATTTGTACACCAGTTATGGAGTAAAGAAAGAACAATTATGCACGCTAAGCATAGTAGATATACTCGAGTTTTAAGAAAAGCATTTTAATAGGACCTACGAATAGTTAAGATTTACGGTGCAACAGCCTTGTTGTCTGCATAATACAATCCTTAAAAGAAGTCCTTCGTGGTGGTAGTGATTCATATGCTCTGTCTAATGAGAAATTCAACTACATGTGCTATTTCATGAGTGTTAAGAAGTAGAGAAACCCAGTTTACGGTTTCTTCCCAGCTGTCTATAAATAAACTTGACTAAATTTAGTGAAAACTGTCATTAATTATTAAATTTATCACAGGATGATAGGCAGACTGTGAGCACCCTCGTTTGTTCATAGGCCATCCCTTCCCATTTACACTAGAGTGTATTTAAAAAAGGTATGTATATATCGCCATCACACTAAGGTACTCATTTTAGTGTGTCAAAGGTGAAGCTGTCCTTGCAGAGTTCAGCTTTTAAGAGACAAAATAATGGGGGAAATAATACTCGATTGAATCATGAAACTTTGTCATCTTCAAGTGATTCAGAAACGAATTCGAAAGCATCAGTTCTAATATGAAAATGAACTGAAATCACTGTGGACGTAATTGTGTAATGAGGGTTAGAAGCTTAATTACGTTTTTGAGTGGTCCTTACTGCCTGAAGTCGAAGTGTACACGAATAAGATGTTAATCTACGTAACTACACGATGTTTTGCCACATGTTCCATGATATAGACGTCAAATAACTCTTATGCTGCTCCTCATCTTGTCTGCATAATTTATTAACCCACATGAAAGGGTAAACTAATTACAGTTACAGAAATAAAAACAAACATCAGTCTTCAGACTGGATACTAAGGATATAGTTGTAGTCTTCGAAGTTCAAAACTTGGGAATTAACTTCTAAAGCAGAAAGCAAACATCTAGTTGGTCATCAGTCTAACTAGTGCTCCTCTTCCCTGTTGCTTCACTACTTGATGAGTATTCAGAACATATTTAAGATTAGGCGGTCGAGTTTGAGAAGTTAGAATAAGGTTTATAACCATATCTAAAGGTTGGGAGCTTAATAGTAACACATGATCAGCTTCTTGTTCATGACCGTGTCCTATTTAGAAAATATAAATACATGGAAACTCGTAGAACTACCAAACAATATGAGACAATCATATCAGAAACATTCATTTTTGTTCACATCAAACATATCTTCATCAAAATCCTGCATACGCCTTCGACGTGACTGATCGGTTCAGTGTTATCTGACAGTCTCTCCTAAGCTGCACAGTTAAAGCATTGAAAATGTCTTGCCGACAGTGAGATTTCTTATAAAAGGCAGTTGTTAATATAAAGTATTTCGGGAATTCTTTTCGAAAATGGTTTACGTAAAGTCTACATCAGAATCAAATGCTACTGGGACTCATTCTGAAATAATTATTCATGTGGATTTCCTGTGGTCAAAATCAATTATCTCAAAATTACTTTTCATGGTGAATGATTAAGAACGATGGTAAATTTTGTAGTGCTGACTGGTGGTGATTGGAGGTTGCAATGAATTCTTCCCACTAAGATGATCGAATTCAGAGACAAAATGAAATCGACTGCTTTTCTTGCAATTCTTTATAGACGATATCAGTTAGCCTCTATCAGATGAACACTAATTCATTACTGAGTAGAGTAGGAAAGAAGTATTAATCAGCATTTGAAGTGCTATTCAGAGGTCTCAAGGGCTTTGTTTTTTTATCCAACTGTAGCGAAAAATGAAATTTTTGCATCATACTATGACATAGATTTGCATTTAAATGTTACTTTGTTGATTATGGTACAAATGATACCTTACCAGATATCTATTGAAATATTTTTCAACTTAAATCTAAATAACCTCTCTGGAACTATTTGAAGACATTCCAAAACTCTGAATTAAGTTTTTCCATAATGCAGTGTTTCCCCGTGAAACTGACGCACATTTCAGATCATCCTTAGCAGAACGATGTCTTTCTTCGTCCTTTTTAATATTCCGACAACTTACTTCTTCCTGTGAATCTCTGTCGATATCTAAAGATTACAACAGAAACTGATATGACCTAATCTATTTCCTTCATCAAAAAGGCGAGGCCGACCTACACATTTAATTCAGCGTGAAAGCCTATTTGAGTCGTTTATTAGGCCCAGACATTTTAAATACTACGAATATGTAACTTTTTGACTCCTATCGAATAAATCCAGGTAGGCTTGTCAAAAGATATTCCATGCTTAGGGTTACCTTCTTGTGAAGTGCTTTTCAAGCACTTGTATTTGAGTATTTACTACACATATTACAAATAGATTTCATTATCAAGATAATTCAGTAGGTGTCAACAAGTTCAACGAAGTTATTCAGTTTGATAGATTCCACTAACTACCCCTAAATCTGTAAGAAATATGCAACATGTAGGGCTATTGAGGGCAACAATACCTATCGCTGAAATTCAAATCTTTCATTTCAACGAGAGTCATCTTATAAAAAGTGAAAGCCATATCCCCGGTTAGAATGAAAGCGCACAGAGTTGAATTCTTAGTTTGAATGTTGTCAGTGTTTAACAGACATTAAAAGACTGATGAAACTAGATCTTAATATTCAAGGTCTAATAATTCACTATGAATAAGAATAAATTAATTTGCAGAGTATGAATGCTTTGACATAACTTCAGTTTATTAAACATTTCTTGAAAACAAAAAAGTAACAAGGTTAGGAAAACTAATTATTTTCTGATTCTTTCCACACTCAGTTTCAATAGAAGAGAAAATGTTCTGGGTCTAGTGTCTTTTTCTCTTATGATTGCTGAGTGGAAATATGTTTATTGAAATAATCCCCATTCGGCCAAACTATTGTATTATAATAAGTGATAATTCATTGAACTAAGTGATATATACAACCACTCAGAAGAAAAACGATTTGATTAATGAATTCACATAATACATTTAGCTTTCTTTTTCTGACAAATTGCTTGTACATTAATGTCATTCACACAAATCTAATGCATCATCTCAGTTAGTAATTAACCAATTCATTTGAAACTCAATGATTATTAGACAAATCGGAAAATGCTGTTCAGGTGTTTATTATAAAACATCCCTCATGAAGCAACTGAATAGACTTTGAGTTGCATGATTCAGTAAAGTAAATGTCGAAAATAATAGTTTACTCCGATTTCTTGTTATACGATGTTAGCTTTAGTCATTGAATGTTATTTGAACAGTCAGCCCACTTGGAATAGCCTTGGTTGGTAAACTCATTGTTTTCTATAGTCTTTAAGAGTGATGATATCCCAGTCAGAATTGGACTCAGGCTACTGGTGTATTTTTTTTTGCGTTCAGTTATCAGTCAGGTGAGTTACAAAGTCTAACTGATAACCTGAATCATTATCCATTTAAATTTCGTATTCTGTTTTTATGTCACCAAAAAAACCACGTCGTTAATCCTGAAAACAAAATCTGAATACTATTTAATAGAAGCCATTATAAGTAGCTAAATAACAGTGAATTTCTCCCACCAGTTTGCATTTTACAATGCCTATAACTCCTATCACAGTTGCTTAAGATAGACGCAGTTCGGGAGGTTATATCTGCCAGTAGTCGACTTCCGTAGAGTCTGCACACACATGTTTCTCAACAGCAGCTAACATGCATGCATTAAATATCATCATGACACCTTTTTCCCAATCATTCTGCAGTGTTCTTCATAAATATTGACTTTTATTACACCTTAACTTCTTGATACTACGTAACTGCGTTTTCTTGAGATGTGTAGTCCATCGACTATTCTTTGTCTATTTTCAGCTCCCTCTGAGGATCAAAACGGTGAATTAAATGTGAGTTACACTTTTCATTCTTTTAAACCCCAGTGGTTATATTGAATATTTTAAATATGTAGATGAAAAATATTGATACTTTTATCTTAGTAAGTTCACCTCAATTGTGTTATCACTTGCTATTCATTTGTTATCCATTAACACTGGCTCCACGACTTGCCTATTTAAAAATGAAATCTACCAAGTAAATTTCAATATTCTGTTGATGAATGCGTGGGCTTTTGAGCCATACAACTAAGACAATGTACACTGTAGTACAAATGTCAGGTAAACTTTTGAAAATATCAGTTAATATTATCAAGCTTAAAATAATTAATTGATAAGAGGATGTTCTCTTTATTCAAACATCTGACGCACAAACTTGATGTTCACAATTCTCGGTAATGCTGAGTGCCTCAACCACTCTAAGAATAAAATGCGGTGCATCTTCTAGCTTTTAACCATCAAAACTAATAGTTGGAAGAATTCGAATAACGTTCGTTAATAAACATCTTTGCATTGACTAATCACAGCAGTTAGTGCACAATATATCTGTGATTTATTTCTACTTGAGGATTATAGAAACATGAATAGCTCAGTTATAGCGTTTATGACTACATTATTGTGGCATAAAAATCCCAGTTTTTGAGGGAACATCATTCGTCTCCAAGTTATATTTACATTTTTCTGCCAAGTGTCACAAAGTCCAAAACCTTGGTCTTTGGCTTCATTTTCGTTACTTTCAGCCATTCCAACCAGGACATCTAGTTTTGTCTTAACAGTATTTTAAGAGAGAGTGCTTCAGTGTCTTCAGAAATCTTTCTGTCCTATTCTTCCTTATTCTTCTTGTAAACTGAATATAACCTGTTATCCAGGTTACATGTATTTGTAGTTTTTAAAAACTGGCCTACTTTGACAATTATGAATGTCAATATCGCCAGCAGAATTACGTATTCCAAAAACTTCACTTCCATTTTAATTAGGAACAGTCATTCAAATAAGAAAACTGCTCCATGATATAAGACATGCCTGATATCCACTTTGATAAAATAAGACAGTGATAAAGACTTAAATCAAAGTTATAATCTTAACCAAACTATTACTTAACACTAGTGGTTGATGAAGGCTGGGTTAAACAATTTACCAAACTGGCCGTGTCTTCCTGCAAATCAAAGACACGCAGTCTGGTAACATGAGTTTCGAAGAACTGCTCAATTTAAAGATAGTATTCGTGGCTAAATAACATTGTCAAAAAGAATTGTCGTAAATGAACAGTTTCTTAAAGTTGTGTTGTCCTAATTAGAAATTTTCATATTAGTCTTTTCCTAAAACAGAACCTAAGAATCTCAAGTTCTTACAAAATTAATTTATGTTTATGTATATCTGAACCATTCAATGAGAGATATCGGTATCAGGAGACATTTTAAATTATTTTGTTTATATAGTGTAATGCATTGAGGATATGCAATAGTTACAAGTTTCAAAGTTGAACGAAACATTTATGTGTTGGTTCTCAGTCATCTCAGAGTGATTTGCATATTTCAAAATGCTTGAATGGTTTTGGTTCATCTAACAACACATAATTATTTTATTTTTCTAGAGAATATATCAAAATCAGCTCAAAATCACATTAGCTCCACCACAACCCCAATGCAGTCATCATCGAAAACATTGACATCCTATATGAATTTACAGAGTCGATGGGATGAAGTCACAAAATTAAACTGGAATAAAGTGGACATTCCACCTAGTAAGCGTTTATCGGGCGCTTCACAGCGATCAAAAAGAAGCAGTAGTATTACTCCTTCTTCAAAACGTTTTCTAGATATTGATTTGAGTTCAACTGCAGCTAGAAACACTCCTGTATGCCATGATAGAACTAGAGCTAGTCCTGTACGAATCTATCTAGTTCTACGATTAATTCATCTGTACTTGATTCAACAACGGTAAGCCACTTTCAGTTTGTCGTTTCATTTTTTTTGATGCTTTAGTTTACCACTGCAATAAAAAATGCCTTCTGTAGTAGGTAGTTGTGCAAAAATTCATAATTTTCCATATTTTATCAGATATGGAAGCTAGTTTAGCATGAAATTTATGCACAACCTTAAATCCACCTATGAAATCAATATCAGTCACTACTTTTACGATAATAGTTTGTTCCTTCACATTCAGCGATCAACCTAAAAAACAGTTTTGTCCCAGACTCTTGATAAATTGTTGATTTATCTTTGCAATTGACACTGTTTCATAGGTAAGTAGATGATTTGCATACATAGTCTTTGTCACTTTAGCAATTCATTTTCATACTTAAAAGCAAAGATTTTGAAGATCTCAGACAAAAGTTCTAAGTAGTTTCTATGATTCTAACCCAAGCGAGAGTTTGATCTATGAGTCGTATTATTTCAAAAATTCTTATCAAATTACAGACGATTGGAAACTCTATTGTAAATTAGAATTTGAAAGACGATCAGTTTTGCATCTTGCACTGGTTAGTGATAATGAGTGAGATACTTAATGAAAAAAAGTGAACTAGATTGCATTTGACTGGCAAATAAATGCCAGTAGGAATTGCCAGTGATGCTTTTATGACCTACAAAGGCCTTGCTTATTTCCAGGCCTTTCTAGATTTGAATCCTATTGAACGTTCGTCTCTTCAACCAATCTGATATTCGCACGTTGGTTCACGTGTTTTTCTTTTGAAACTTCGAGGTTAAACGATTGATTGTAGCGGGCTTCAGAGGTCTAGGGCTTTTCATGCAGAACACGGCAACCTTTTTCTGCGCTATTACAGCTTTTCGCTCCGAAATAATCTATCACCGCTATCTCACGTCTTCATCATTCACTTTGGTATTAAAATTCAATCAGTGCATCATTGGTTTATTGCTCTAAATGTATGCCTGACAAATGACGTGTCATTGGTTACTCAATTTGAAGTTTCTACTGTTTCTAACTAATCAGAAAAACACAGGTTACTTATTCGTGAATCATTTTTATGTAGTATCTTATATCACAACACAGTAGCCGTTGGCGAAAATGAAGGTGAAGCGAGTTTTTAAATGATGTTGATGTTAAATGGAAGAGAATAGGTTTTTTAACACCTGGTAATGCTTACATTATAACACAGTCTCAATGAAAAATGTTTTTTGAATAAAGGGTGGCTTCTGTCATATAGACAAACTTTTGCAGGCTATTTATAAAACCTTGCAAAGTCTACTACCTCAGGGCAAATTTATTCTCCCATTTCACTGATTATTCATATATTTTTTTCAAAACGTGAAGTCAGCTTCCTCACCGTAGTGCAAGTACATTCAGTGACAAAACTGTTTGTTGGAATGTAAAATGTTTTCGTTTGTCATCAATACTGGGTAACATTTCTAGTAAATACTGACCTTTCCCATATTTATTTCTTGACAACAGAGTACCGTAACGCTTGGAAGAATATCGCCTGATTGTTCAGTTCGGAAATCATTGCCATGTTCACCGGTTTACTACAATACTACGAAAACACTCGACTTCATATCAGATTCACGCAACATAAATGGACGCAATAGTAACGATTTTGAGACGCGACGGAAACCTGAAGTAAAACGAAAAGTTACACTCTTCAGAAAAGTAAGTAGTTAATTTCGCCATTTAGTTTATCGACAGTCACTCATAGACAGAGACAGAAACATTAGTAAGCTCTTTTCCAGCACAATCTGCTGCCTATTCTGCCCGGTGGATAATAAATTTATTGTACTCAGGTGTTTTTATACTTGATTTTTGGAAAAATTCCCCCTAAAAAGGTCCCTTTATTGAGATACAGGTGTTCACATTCAGACAAATGTATTTCCAAGTACTACCTTCGGACTTATAGTGCCTATTCAATCAAAAATACTCTTCTTGATCATGCAGTGGACTGATTTTGCTTAACTTTGTTCGCCGTACCATTCATCGTTTTGGGAAGTCAAAAATGGACATTGTCAGAAACTAATCTCAAGGTATACAGAACTGAAAAATTGAATATCTGGATGAATGGATTTTGTATTGTCAAAATGATCTTGACTCAAACATCATAATCAGCTGCATAGAGAGTAATGTTAATCCATTTTTCTTGACAAGGAATGATCTAACAAGCTTCTATGAACGGAACCAGTTGACAGATTATTATTTAGCAGTACCAGCTCATCATATTGATAGGTTGATAAGTCATATATGGGTCGTACCCAAACTTACATGAGAAGGGCGCAAGATTCCAAGCACCGTTGAACGACTATAGATGACTGATGAAATTGAGACATTCATGGTCGTCACTAGGAAGGGAATGAAACCAGGGATATTTACGTTTACAATTAATTATACCAGAATATATGCGAAGTTGTACTTTTCATATTTCTTACGTATTGACAGTTTTTTATTAAGTATCTAAGATGACATAAAAAAACTTCGCTATATCCGCAGTTGCTTGAAATGCTCGGAGTCCTGGCTTTTACTGTGAAGTAAATTCCAGACATACGGTATACTCAATATAATCAATCTCGCCAATAAGTACCAACCTTTCATGCATTGTTTTCTTTAATTAATTTCAGTTTAAGCATTCCTGCGTAAACTAGGAATTAGGAATCAGATATTATAATGGTTAAGTAAACGATCCCCAGAAGTTCACTTCCTTGGAGAAAAGACGGTTATTGTACTATGTGGTCTAGGAGTTAGAACAATTACACACCCGATGAACTACTTTTTTAAAATTATTTGCTTCTTGTATGGTATCTTCAGACCACTATCATTGACTGCTATGACATCATTTGCGACAGTTTATCATCATATCTTCCAAATTAAAATAATGCACTAGCTATTAGTGACAGTGATTTAGCCAACCACAGCTGAAAATGAGACAAGAAGAGCGAACGAAAACGATTTTATTACTTTCGACTCTAATAAAAGATAAACATCTAAAGTACTCGATTTTCCGCAATCTTTTGAAAAGGCTTTTGATTGTGAGCACTAGAAATGAAATTTAATGAAATCTGAACATTAATAAATTATTTTTTGGAACTAATAATGCAGTCTGCAAAAATAATATTGTTGGTGGAAGGCTTATTTAAAAACTAATTGCAATACACACTGAAAACATTTCGGGTATGAATTATATCGTCTTCATTCTTTTCATGAAGTTGGTACACTATGTTGGCTATTCTACAAAAATAACTCCAAAAACATTTTATGTCACACTAACCCAGGACTGTAGAACAAGTGCGGTTACAGATGGCGACTAGTAAGGACTTTTTTTGATAGCTTACAGAAATCACAATAAATCAAGTATTTTTTTTTGAGTATTCATACGTGTTATGATATGGCGGGAATTATAAAAGTTGTAAGCTGAGTTATTGCGAAGACTGATACCTAGATTATCAGTCTGGACATCCTTTGACCACTCAAGGAGCAGTCGGACGCAATCTGATCAGTTGGGCTAACCGTCTTTCTACAACGAAAGAGAATGAAGGAGGAGAGTTGAAGTCAAATTGTCGCAAACTGGAAGCAATCAATTACCCCAAAGATTTCGTAAAGAGAATCTGTGAAAACGAAGCTGAAACTTCTTCCGACGATTCGCATGAACGTGGTGATAATCTTATATAATAAGGAGATCTTTGATGAAGTAAGACAGATTTTCAACATATATACTAGCATGCACGAAATACCCTACACTCTAGCTAAATGGAAGCTAAAGAAGTGGTACTTAAAAAAAATCAAAAGAACTGGGTTTATGAGATCAAATGCGCAGATTGTATTGCAGTATTTGTGGGCAAGACAACCAGGCAGATAAATGTAAGAGTAGGTGATCATATACTATGCCTAAAGTTAATTCTGAAAACCTCAGCAGAAGCTAGAAAGCAAATCGGTAATCGCGCTTTACTCCTTAGAAATGGTCAGGTCTCATACCAAGAAAGACTGACATGGGTAAATTCAGATAGTTTGAACAGATGAAATGGAGTGGAGTTAGCTGTTTATTGATAGTTACTAACTAGTAAGCAGTCTCAACTTTATTATCTCTGAATCAGCAATATGGATTGATTTGATTATAATTTTCATTATCGTCACCTCCATCATAACAACCATTCACTTTCACTCTATTCCAACAAATCAATGAAAATTCGTCCATCCATTAATCTATATGTACCAGATTCACCTGAAAGACCATATTGTACTGATAAAGATCACCGAATGACTATCATGTCAATCGAGGAGAATATAAACAGTGACACACACGCTAACCATACAGCGAGATACATACAATTTCACACTGAATGATTAGTAATCATACATTGGAAAGATAATGATTATATGGAGAGGATTGGACAAGGAGATTAAATGCACGTCTTTGGATTCATTTATCCATCCTTGACATTTTAATTTTGATTTTTTCCCTGAAGATCGGACCAAACTTCTGTGCCAAACGCTGGAATCATTTTATTTCAAACATGCTGCAATCTAATATTCCACGGGCGTCACTCAAAATATGGGACAAACTGATAGATTTTAACTGTGAACAACAATCACGAAACAACAAATAAGTTGTACTGCTACTTATATCCTCTGAAATAGAATACGAACGTCACTAGCGAATTCCTCTGAGTAGTAGGTTTTTTTCTCTCTGTAATAGCAATTATGAGTATCAGCCATTCCCTCAGTTAAACAATAAGCAAAAAATTTATTCACATGGAAGTCTTCTCTTATCTTGTTCCACTAATACACTTTGAAAAGATCATGGTGAAAAACGTTGATACAATACAACTTTAGTGAAATTTACTCCTCTGATCACGAAACTTTTTAATATTTTTTTGAAGCATCGTTACAAACATCTGATTAAATAAAACAAATTGACAGAAATTTGAGATAAACTCAAATATTTACTGATATCATGTAAATAACCTCTGACTTTTGTGAAGAGAAGACTTTTCACGCCACGAAAAAATATTCAAACTCCATTTTAAACTAGGAGAGGAGATTTATAAATATGGATGAACATGACAGAAATCTGGGTCACCAGTGCTTCTTCAATGGACTGGTGAACCTCATGAGCACTTTAATATTCAATTTCGCTTTATGTTAACGTTTTTCTCAATGCTCGTCCCATTTTTACCCTTTTTTTCTGTAACTGTACATTGAGCTAATTCTTGATGGAATATCAAGCGCATTACGAAATCAATATATTCATCAACGAACTAAACTAGAACTCAACTTTTGACTTCGTCAGAAAGGATCCGCTGAATACATTGGTCTGTTAATTGAAATGCCGCTTGTCGAAGAACCTCGTAACTTTGATGTAAGATGAAGTTTGTTAGCTTACAGACTGACTTGTATCAAACGAGTAGACACACACCACTATTCAATCCACAAGAAACACACTGACATCCACTATCAAAGCGTTTAAGAAAGAACACTATGCACCAAAAGTTATCGAACAGTCCACTTCAAACTGATCAACAGCAATACAGTACAAAAGAAGAATTTTAGAAGCAATATACATTTTTCCAACAATGTCCTTACTAAGCTACACGGTTGCATTAGTATTCGGCAAATATTCAAATAGTTTCTCTGTAATTTCGCTCAGTCAGCACGAAGATAACACAGGCGATGGTTGAAGGAATTTGAGTTAAGTGGACTAAGTAGGTGAATTATATGTTAAATTCTGTCAGAAAGTTATAAAAATGGTAACACTGATGACAATTAAGATATAATGGACAAAATAAATTAGAGGGAAACCACCCAAAAAGCATGTTACTGCGGCCAAGCTGGAGAGAGAAGTTTTGCAACATGACTGTGGAAGCAAGTTTATCCCTCTGATCATGCTCAGCTATCGCTTCAGTCATACACTGGTATTGGAAACATAGGCTTCTGTAGAAGTTGAACTTATCTGTGTAAATTACATTCAGAGACCAATCAAAAGAAGCTGAATATCTGACTCTACTATGTATTTATTTATGGATAAGCGTGATGCCATTTAACAATGCATTTCCGAAGGGTTTCGTTTAGGGAGAACATTCTTTTCAGTACCTTAGGAATATGCGGATTTATATTTGGACATGAATGACAAAATAACCTTCATATGTTATCAAATCGAACAGTAGCCCAAGAACAAGAACGATATGCCGGCAGAATAGAAAGTATTTTTGCCCCACTTTGCAGACAGCTCTTCAATACTTCAATAAATAAGGTGGAATTCTCGTCTTAACTTCTACAACTAACTAATATTCATTTCTGACAGAACCGCAACACTTTGATCTGATTATACAGTTAATTATCGCATACTTGAAAAGGTAACGACTCAACTAAATTGTACTTGTTTCTTTCATCCTTTACAGACAATGCCGCCAGCATTACCAATTCAAAGTGAGTCTCTAATTCCCATGGAAAGTTTTAATCCCGTTAACAGCAATTTATGGCATTTTTTACTTTGAGTAGTGTCAACGGAAACCTTATTTGGGAAATGAAATCAGCATATATATATATATATATATATATATATATATATATATATATAGTAGAGTATGTTGCTTAGCTGGATGCGTTTTTCTTTTAATGACAGTCTGGACACTTCTGTTTATGTTTCTTTCTGATTATGCTTGATATGTTTTCTCTGGTCACTAATATACTTCACTACGCTAACGTAAAAGTGTAATTTAACCATATTTATACTGTTGGACAGCCTTATGACATCTTTATTAAAGTAACAGGAGGCTGTTTTGAAGTTGCGCATTAAAAATAGTTCTACTTGAAAAACATTCCCTTCATTACTAATAAATAGTCCATTATTCCTTGAACATACCACCAATTTTTGTAACGTTTCACTAGATGACTTCACTTAAGGAATGACCGGATTACCACTATTATTATTACCATTATTATTATTATTATTATTATTATTATTATTATTTCTCCCTTGGGTTCTTGGTGGAACATAGAGCTTCAGTACCACGTCTCCATTTCACCCTGTTCTCCACAGTCTTTTCAACCTGGCTCCACAACTGCCCACAAGCTCTCATTTCTTCCTCACACCATCTCTTCCATGTCATCCACAGCCCAGACTTCGAACTCGCCGTTTCCCATCTGGCTTCCACTCAACGGCATGGCCTGGCACGTGGTGTCCCCACTCGGTCTTCTCAGTGTATGCCCAATCCAATCCATCTCCACTTCCTTCTGCATATCTGTTGAGCGACCTATCGTTCTTGGTTGGTCCGTTATCAGGCCAGAGTTTCTTGTTGCTTATTCTTATTATTCTGGCCATCTGAGATTCAGTATCGAGCCAGCGTAGGCAGTTGTTGATGAATGTCTGCAGTTTGTTGCAAATGCTTTTCGTAACACTCCAAGTCTGTGAACCACCACATAGAAGCACTGACTTGACTGACATTAGTGTTGAAAATCCGGATGTTGTTCACGCTTTATACTGAGTGCAGGAGATCTCCACACTGGTTTCAAGTTAATGAACACCTGTCTTACTGTCTTTCCGATCCTGGCTGGCTTTGACGTCCTCTTCTGTGCCTGTGTCACCTGTAGTTGGAACGATGCTGCCTAGGCAGATAGGTGAAAGAGACTACTTCCTTTAAGTTTCTCCCGTTGATGGTGGATGGAGCTTGTTATTGTTGGTGGTTGTGGTGGTGCTTGGGTATCTTCATCACATCTCTCTCTTCACTACGATCACCTGAAGGAAGTGCCGTCTTTGCTGCCCTGCCTCTTCTCTCAACTTGTTGGTTTTTGCCTGTGGATCTTCCAGTTTGTGCCACAAGATATTAGACACAAGTCATCGGTGAAATCCAAATCTTCTAGGATATTTTCTGCGGTTCAGCGTATCCCCCTCTCCTCGCTCCTCACTGTTTGTTGCATGACCCAGTCGAGTCGACCACAATCAGGAATATCATGGGTGATAGTGAGTGTCAGCCTTGCCTTACTCCTGTCTCCTGTCTTCACTTCGAAAGCATCACTGAGCTCTCCATTGTGGATCACTTGGCATGTGGTGTCTTTATATAGTTGTTGGATGAGATTGATAAGGGTTTTTGGTATTGTGTAGTGTTGAAGCAGCAGCCTGCCAAATTACTTGTGGGTCGACGCTGTCAGAGGTCTTTTCAAAGTCGATGAAGTTGAGGTTGAGTTGAGTTGACTTTCATTCTATGCTCTGTTCTATGATGATGTGAAGCGTTGAGATTTGGTGGGCACATGATTTGTACTTGCTGAATCTAGCCTGTTTCGGTTTTAGTTTTGAATCAGCGCATTGTTTAGTTTCTCCAGGACGATATGGCTTAATATTTTGTTTGGGGTGGACAGGAGCACGATAGATATATTATTCACAGACAACTATTATTACTTTCTTTATTTAGTACTACAGAATGTCTTTTATTTGCGAAACCAATTGAACACGATCTGAATGCAACTATCTGTACATGAAGAGAAAGAATTTAGCTATTGTAATCACAGTAACAGTATTATATGTTCAGAAGATAGTGATTCTGAGTTATTCCAAATGTTAGATCGCATCTCCTTTTATTTTCTTAAACAGCTACTATATTAATGGTATTTCAATTTGCGAAAGCGATTAATGTCAACTGGGAAGGTCAAGGAAGACACAGGAATGATTGTTATTTCTTAGTGTAAACTAAAAATGTCGTTTTTATACAGCAGGACAATGTAACTTTCAATTCAGTAGTCATTCAAGGAGTATAAAATAATTAAACTAAACATTCTAGGCTAAACATTTGTCACAATTAGCTGAAGCCAGTTTCGGAAATAGCGTATAGAATCTCAAAAAGCTTTTGTGTTTGGAGTTCTTCAATGATATGTAAACATGCGCCGATATGACACAAGAGAGTCACGACTGCTAGCCCTCAGTATTGACCAGCTCATCACTGAATACTCTGTGTAACTACCACGTTAATTATCTCAAAACAATGGTACACTAGGTATCCTGATGCTTCCCGTGGCTTCATTTGTGCTCAACTAGAATATGCCTGCTGTCATCAAACATTCAACACATCTACAAATTCATCGAAAGCTTAATAATTTCAAGAAGTTACTGATGATTCAAATCATGCATCATAAACATATCCATCAATTACCCTGAAGTATGCTTTTGACTGCACTGCAAATCAGCTGGAAGAAGTCGTGTTTATGAAGTTATCAAATTAGACCTTCTGATTGGTAGTAACAAAGTGTTACAAATCACTAGTTGACAACCTCGGATGACACAGCTTTAAGTTCATCCCATTAAGAAAGATGAATTGGTTCATAAGATTCTTTTAGGTATCCAGAACAAATTTTTATGCTTCAGTGCATACTAAATGAATTCATAAAGATGATAACTTGATATAATACATGACAGTACAAACTTCTGTATTATTCTATTTGTGTAACTCCTGGTTTGTCTAAACATTTTGAAGTTATCACCTCAAGATTTTATTACGGTCTATTATCAAGAAAAGCGCAATGAAATATACTGTCGCTTCTGCCATAAAATTATGTCCAAATTGTGATTCTGTATTTAATAACGTACAAAATAAATCCAAGTTGTAAACTTTAACGGTGAGTACTACAAACTTTTACATAATGTAACTAATTTCTTTTTGTATATGAAACAGAAATTAAAGCCTCAAAAGTACTTTTTGTTTCATCTGTTTTTTTTTGTTTTAGTACTCGAATTAAACATCAGTGAAAATATTCCTTCAACTTCTGTTCAGTCGACAAATCTACCTATAGAAAACTATTCACTGCAGAAAACACGCAAACTCCGGAGCCTTTCCTCAGATGGTGTTCGATTAATAAGTCTTCAGACGAAAAATACACACTCACGAAATGCATCAATGTCGCAGAATTCATCTAACCGGAGTGTAAAGCTATTTAACAGTCCTGTTTACAATAATGTTTCACTCATTTCGCACACGCATCAAGATTATTCACCAACTACACTCAATGATACAGTTTACTCAGACCCAGTGTTTTCAACAACTGTACAAGTTGTAAAAACAGTCAGTTTAGTTAGCCAACAAATTGCTACAAGTCAAACAGAGAAATATGGTGCTCTAATAAAAGTACGTTTGTTTACTTTTTGTGTCTTCAGTTGATCAAAGTTACTGGTTTCTTTTTTTTAATGCTTTGTTGGATTTCCAAATAATAGTTGCTACAATTCTCATTGTAACAGAAGTAGAAAGTGTAAGCTGTTTTGATGATGAAAGTTACCTAATAAAGATCATGAATCAAAACAAGAGAGTCGATCATAGAAATAATACACTTGAAGTGTAGTTTACTTCCAAAAACAGTAACGAAAATTGAGGTACAGAGTATAAGAAGATAGGGTTTAGAGGGTGAATAATTAAATTTTTAATGGAAATGGTGTTAGATGATATATGGTGATCCAAGAAAACAAGAATGCTTATAATGCAACAGCAAAGAAAGAAAAGAGACTCAAGCAGAATAAGGTGAACTCATGTTATTTCGCCTGTGTTTAGTCAGTTGGTTACAGACTGACATAAATCATATAAGGAAAAGACTTGAACAGAGTTTATTGAGTGACGTTGCATAATAAGGGATATGACCACCAAAATGATGGTAGGAAGATATGCTAAGAAGTTTTTAGTCACATATCTTATTCAGATTCTAGTTCAGCGGAACTGATACGCAGATTAACAAAGTGTCTTGGTCTACATAATTAAGGATTACATGAAAACGTTAGCGTAAGGACTAGTTAACCACAAGTAACAGACAAATTATATAACTTTATGAAGAGCTTAATTCAACTGATTTGTCCGAACAGAAAACAATTCCATGAAAAAATTATGTCTTGATCCAACAGAAAGACCTGAAAATTAGGTTAGTAGAACAAAGCGAAAGTGTTGACTACTGCTTTTTGAACAACTATTTCCTAATTCTGAAACCGACAGAGGTAGAAGGTCCAGATACTGATGGATAATACTAGTGGTCTTATGAATAGGAATCTTTGTAGAAAAAATAAGCAACATCAAATCATGTCATCAAATGGAATCAATGTTTCAGAGTATGCACAACCAGATCTAGATTTTCCTGCGAATCAACGACCAAACATTGTGATAAGTTAAACATAGTTAATAAACGTCTCAAAAGAACATTCTGTTTATGAGCCTTTGCCAAACCACTCATGTAAGGCATAGAAGGTTTCAGATCCTTCTATGCAGAGTAAGAGCTTTTAAAAGCTGCCTCAGCACACTTGTGATTCGCAGATCTGTATGTCATTTTCTTGAAAACATTATAAAGATGTGGTTCTTTTTATAACCCCATAAACGATAACTGGAATACCTTTTAATTAAGAATATCCCTAACTACTAATTTTAATTATATCCTTAGTGTAAACACTATAGTGTATGAAAAAATTTTATCGCATATTTACCTGGAATACTGTTCATTAAGGTCACTTCCTGGTTACAGAAGTCCATTTAAAAATAATAATATAACGACATGTCGTAAAGCACAACGTTATATGACAGGATGAATTTTCAAAGTGTTCACGTTATCATTTGTTATACTGAATCAATATACTCATCAAGATGAACTGGATTAGTATCCTAACCAAAATCGTTACGTCTCCTTAACCTTAAAGACGACACTGAGTGATTTCTTTTCAACAGCTAATACGCATTTTCCAACAGATGTGCCCTGAAAATTGACAATCGCTCGTTATGTTTAACTGAGCACATTGTGATGATGGAGACACTTTCTACAATATTTTTCAGCTCATGAGCCTTAAACGAGAAGAGACGTCATTAAGCAATGGTTTGATGCTTTCAGTTTTCAGTTGCTATACAGAGTCGAACTGCATGAGAGCGGATAAAGACTATGTATTCGAAGCAAATTTTAGCGGTTTCGATTCTTAGTGGGATCGAAACCACTAGTAGAGGTGTAGTTACATCTAGTTGACGAGTTCAAAGTGGAACGAAATGGGAATCATAGATTTTACTGCTAGTCAACAAGATGAATACAACATCAATTGGTAACTACGCAGACTAAATGAGACATAACGTTCAACAAGTATATAACCCACAATAGTCATATTCATAGGCCTATAGTTTTTCCAATTTTCCTTGTAATTATAATAATTATTATTGTTATTTGTCCCTTAGGTTCCTAGTGGAACATAGGGCTTCAGTACCACCTCTCCATTTCACCCTGTTCTCCACAGTCTTTTCAACCTGGCTCCACCACTGCCCACAAGCTCTCATTTCTTCCTCACACCATATCCTCCATGTCACCCTCAGCTGATACACCCAACTCGTTGTTTCCCCTTTGGCTTCCACTCGACGGCTTGGCTTGGCGCGTGATGTTCCCAACCGGTAGTCTCAATGTATGTCTAATCCACTTCCACTTTCTTCTGTACATTTGTTGAGCGATAGGTTCTTGGTTGGTTTATTGCCAGCCGGAGTTCCGTGTTGCTTATTCTTACTACTCTGGCCATCTGATCTTCAGTATCGAGCCAGTATAGGCAGTTGTTAATGAATCTCTGTAGTTTATTTGAAAGGCTTCTCGCAACGCGCCAAGTCTCTGAACCATCACAAAGAAACACTGACATGATATTCGTGTTTAAAATCGGGATGTTGTTCACACTTTATGCTGAGTGCAGTGCAGTGCAGTGCAGTAGATCTCCACACTGATTTCAGATTAACGAAGGCCTATCTTGCTGTGTTTCCGATCCTGGTTGGCTTTGACGTCCTCATCTGTGCCATTGTAATGGCTGGTATTAATAAAATGAATCAGTGCCTGCTGATTACATCTTACAAACTTTTTTATAAATATTTGAAGGATTCTCCTAATAAATGCTGTTTTTTTGTGAGTAATATAATTACTAGTGTTTGTCCTGGCACTGAATATCTGTTATCCTAGACAAAACTGAATTACATCTTTTGCTGGCAAAGAGAAATCAAGATTATAAGTTTTTGAATGGATCCACCAAAAAGCCGTTGACGGATACAATTTAGCTATTTGAGACGCACTAAAAACAAGGATTGTTTTTGTCTTTCGATGCTAAACTATTGGGAGAGATGATGGTTAGCAGATAATAAAAGCTATTGGGCAACATCAGGTAAACGAAATGAGTGAAAACCATAGAATAAGCATTTTGACTATGTTCTATATTCTGTACAGCTAGACCAAACCAACTAACCTGCTTTACAGAATACAGAAGTCTTATGCTTATCAAGTCTTTTGAGTGGTTAAGACATTTATAACTTTCTTTTATCCAAGACGCAGCTCCAGCAGTTTCATCCACCATGACAGTAAAGTTTTTTTGCAGCTGGACTATGTAACCTGAAGGATACTGAAGGACTAAATTGTACTCAAGCTTTTAAAGCGTATTTATCAATCACCTCTTCATTATATCTCTTTCTTCACTCAGCCACTGATTTCGGCATATTCATCAGAAGATTTGCTTACAGTTCAGCTATGTTCTACAGGAAATGAACTAGCTGTTACTTAAATTCTGGTGGAACTTAGTACTTCGTTTGTTGATAAAATCAGATTATGAGCATGCTAGACACTAAGAGACTGTGATTTGCTTTCTTATGCAGTTTTCTTCATTTTCTAATATGGCTGTTTGGTTATTAGGTAGTTATCTGTAACACTTCATTCAATGAATTCTGGTGCCAGTTGGATGAAAGATTTGATAAAAATATTCTATGCACATATGACTTATTGATGTCCATTATCCATTCATTCATTTATTCAGAATATCGGTGCAACAATAAAGGAATTATTCTCTGCAATTCAAACTGAATTCGGTGACAATGTGGACGATGAGGTAAGACATTTTGAGGAGATAAACTTATTTTTTCAAGCTAACACCAAATAGCTTTCGTTTAGCTCAAAACTCCCGACCGACAGCTGCTACCTTGACGCGGTGGCCGGGCTTGCATATCACAATGACCCAACGAGCTATGCTGGTGGAACACTTGTCCCCTCAAGGTCCTACCATACCAAAAACTTCTGTTGGATAGTGGTTAGAAGAAAAGCAGTTACCGTTGTCGTTGTGGTGTAAATTACTAGGCTATAACGGAAGTTTGAGGACGAAGTCTTACTGCAGCCAGCTGGATGAGGTGTGGGAGCAGTAAGGTGTTTCCCTTGAATGATGACCAGCAGTGTCATGCTGATACTGCCTTCTCAATGTCAGCGGGGAGGGGGGTTAGAAAAGGTCAGCCCCAAAAATAACACACTCCATCATACCCAGGGTCTGCCAGGCCGGTGGTGTTAGTTCATTTGTCATTTCTCTTCCACCATCCAGTCCCAAAAATACAAAAGTTCAAAACAACCATACGCAAAAGGCTTCGTGTGACAGGCCTCAAGCAGATGTCCGATGGGCTCTGTGGTCACACAAATCTCTTTCAGGTACCTTGACAAGAAATAGCCTTCCACGGTGTGGGCAGCCGGGAAGTGTCAACCACCCTCACAACTCCATCAGCACTCAGGTTTCCTCAGACTGCTACCCACCTCCCCCATCATTACACCCTAATCTTCCTTCACGTCTCTCAATTAACAATACTACATCATCTTCAATTTCTCCTACCTCTCCATCCCTCGACATCCTTAGTCTCCAAAAACCATGCTCCAAATTTTATATTGGAGCCTCAATGTCCGCACCCTCCGTCGAATTGGTCAACAGGCTTTGTTGGCAAAGACTCTAGCAACTCGGATCATGGATGTGTGCTGTGTTTGTGAGACACTCATACAGGACCGCAGTGCGGTTATTCTCACCTAACATCTCCCAGCCAATCTGATGAATCCGCAAAATTCACTCTTCGAGTTCCTGGAGATTCGTTAGCTAGCTCTTGTGGTCTTCGAGGTGTAGGCATAGCATTAAACACTAGGGCAGAAAACTCACTACTAGACTGGATCCCAGTTGGTAGTCGCCTCTGCACTATCCGACTGAATGGCACAGTGAGAACTAAAAGGAATAGTGAGACTCGCCATTGTCTCTTTGTAGTCTCTGCTTACGCACCCACTGACTGTAGTTCGGATGAAGTGAAGGACGAGTTCTACCGTAAACTGTCCAACCTCTTCTCGAAAGCCAAACGTTCGAACGTGGTGTTTGATGCAGGTGACATCAATGCACAGGTGGGTAGACTGAGTGAGGCAGTAAGGCACTTAGGTGGTACTTTCGGAATCCCGGCTGAACGTACAGATAACGGTGATCGCCTGCTACAACTGTGCTATTAGTCATCGCTGGAGAGGATCGGTGGAAGACTGCTGCTCCTTCTGGAGTACGTGTTCGGATAGCGAAAACGTCAACAACAGTTAGTGAGGCTATAGCGGAGAAGTACGGATCTGCGATTCACTTGCAGGGGAGAAAACTGGAACGATGGGCAGAACACTTCGAGGAACAGTTTAACTGGCCTCCAGCCACCATTACGTTGCCCGCTTTCCAGTCGGATCCTCAATGGAACATTGAGATAGGCCCCACAACACTCAGAGAAGTCAAGCAAGCAGTAGGTAACTTGAAACGAGGAAGGGTGGTAGGACCAGACAGACTAGCTCCAGAGGTATACAAGGATGGTGGTAAGGTGCTCTTAGTCAGGTTAGTAGAAGTGTTAACCAGTACATGAGAATCAAATACGATACCCTCTGACTGGTCTGAATTGCTGATTGTGCTAGTCTTCAAGAAAGGTGAGAAGTCCTCTTGTGATAACCACAGAGGAATCAGTCTGACAAACATAGTGTCCAAGATTCTACGTTCTATAATTCTTCGACACGCCTGAGTGCAGATCGGGAACAACAAGTCCGAGAAAACCAGGCAGACATGCTTTAGACCCGGCCACAGGTATGTCGACCAAATATTCACACTCCACCAGCTTCTGGAACATAGGCACGCCTATCGAGGCGCAACACTAGCTGTATTTCTCGACCTGAAGGCGGCGGCATTCGACTCCGTTGATCGAGAAGTCTTATGGCAGTGTCTCTCACTGAAAGGCGTGTCGAGTAAGTACATCACTTCATTGAAGGCGCCCTACTCGAACACTTGTTGGCATGTTAGAGCCTATGGTGAGATATATGCGGAGCTGTGCTCATCGAGTGGTGTCCATCAAGGGTTCCCACTCTCTCCATTCTTATTCAACTTTATCTTAGATATTCTCATGGAGGTCTCCCTCTCGTCACCTGATTACACAGACGTTGATCTAATCAAAGGAGAATTTTCATTACACCTAGAATATGCAGATGACATGACATAGTCGTGTTAGGTGAAGATGCTGACAAGATGCAGAGTCTTCTGAACACTTTGAGTGGCAATTTGATAATGTTTGGGATGAGTTTCTCACCACCCAAATGCAAATTGTTGCTCCAGCGTTGGTCTTCAACGGTGCCCCACCATGGCTAACAATAGAGAGTGTAGTGATTGAGTGTGTCGACTACTTCACTTTCTGGGAAGCAGGATCAGCCCTTCCCTAGTGGCTCAGTGGACGATGAAATCTCTGCACAGATACAAACGGCTCGGCTAGCTGGCTTTGGCCAACTTACACCACTTATGGCACCGCTGTGATATCCGATTGTCTATTAAGGGTCGCTTGTACTGCATCTGCACAGCAGTCCGCTCTGTTCTACTGTATGCATGGCTGTGAAACATGGCGATTGAAGGTGGAAGACATGAGAAGGCTGGGTTCAGGTGTTTGATCACCATTGCCTTTATGGCATAGGCTGCGTTTCGTGGTGTCACCACGTGAGTAACGCAGAAGTCAAGTATAGATTTTTAGGGAGTGGAGGTAAATCAGTTGACGAGGTTATGAACCTTCATAAACTGAGATGTTTGGAACACGTATTACATATGCCCAGTCACTGATTGCCTCCTCACACAATGTTGGCCGAAGTAGGTCCAGGCTGGAAAAAGGTCCGAGGTGGCCACACTAAAACATGGAAACAATGCATCAAGTCTGTGACTGTTGGTTTAAGCCATGTGGGGTGATGCAGACTAGTCAGTTGGGGTCTGTGGGACAAGAGGAACCAGTGGTTGGAGACTCTAGGTGATATGGCTCAAAACCGATGTCAGTGGTGCAGATGTATACACACATTATCCTCATTTTAACGACGCTGTACCGAATTTCACCATTTTCTTATTCTTTCTTTCTCTCTTTTCGGACTTTCTATTTCGTTTGACTGAATTTTCTTATCTTTATCTTGCGCCTCACTGCCTTTTTACTTGGTGTACTGATATGAGCTGTGGCAACTCGGACCGTTACGCAGTAAAGCCTGATCGTATATTGATATTGATGACGATGATGCGTTCAAAGCCACTGCTTACCATATGATCAATTCATGTTCAGGATTTATTTTATCCCTCACAAAATAACCGTAATATTGCTTATTTTCAAGAAATATTTGTTAAGTATGTTTGGTGAACATTTTAGAATACTGCTTCAGTTTTTGTTTCTTCCCCAAGATTCGTCTCGCTCAATAAGCTTGTCCAGACACATTTAGATCTCGTTTCCAAACTGGCTTTATCTCTTAATGGTGAATAGTGGCTAACAGTGCAATTCAGGACGCTCATTTCGTCCTATTAGGGACTCGTCATCTAGATTTGCCTGTCTACGAGTGGAGGATGTTGTTACTATTTGGATTCAAACTCGGGACCGATCTCCTGAAACGCTCATCTATCTAAAGGAAAGTATGAAACCGTATGTATAGGGGAGATGATGTCCCTCAATGCACTGTTATCCTGCTCTTCTTTTTCCTTTCTTTTTAATGATTCTTTTTTTTAACTACAATTTATTTCCCCGAATAGGCTAATGGTTTGAAATTTTCCATCTTAGTCATCTTCATATAACATTACTCTAAACTTGATAACTTCCCAACTAATATTGTATGACAGTTTTCCTTGAATGTTTTTGTGTTTAATCTTTCGAAATGTTAGACTGTTAATTTGGACTCTGGACATGAAGAGGACTTACGCAATCTGTCCACATCTGTTGATAACTCCGGATTAAAGAATGTATCGGATGTGATAGGTCTTATGCTGAGTTTTTCATTGCATTTTTCTTGTTCTCAATGTGGGTTGGTCAGTTTTTAAAAATCTTTCAGGTATAATCCAAATTTTACCGTCCTGATATACCACCTTTAGCATCTTGCCTATCCCCCTTTATAGCTCTCTGCTTAATCCATCATGTCATATTGTGTAAGACGTAGAAAGTTGTCAGCAGCGTAACCGGTGCACTTGTAACTCATCTCATAGACACTGTTGAACAGTAAACAGTCGATAGCAATTATTTTATTGAATTCCTTGCATTCTCTTGAATCACAACTTCCCAGTTGTCTTTCTTTAGGTAAGGTAAGCAGTAAGTACGTCAGACTTCGTGCATATAAGATCAAGTGCAAAAATTACGGCTTAACTTATCTAGTTTGTAATCTGTGTTAGATATTAATTTACTTATTAACTTCGTTATGACAAAAGTTTTTAATTATATGCTTGGCGTTACATCTTAGAAATATCGCTATTACTGTCAGCTGTTATAAGTGCTTTTTCTTAAAATATAATGCATAGGTTACATTGTTTCCTATATCTAAAGTTCAGAGTTACTTTTATGTACTACAGTATTGCTCAAAAAACCTGTTACGATTAACGGAATAAAACATTTACTGCTTTGACAACAAAGTCAAGTTTTTCGCCCCCTCTGTTGCAAGAGCTGTAGTAAATTTAAGATATTTATGTCCTACATGAGTTCTGAAATCTTTTGTACATGATATGGTCACCGTCACGTAACCATTATAAATGCTGTAATCTACTTGGCCATTTGGTGAAGTATGTTTGAATGCCACTGA